TGCAAATTTTTTTGATACAGTATAATTTTTTGTAACAATGCAATTTTTTGATACAGTATAATTTTTGTAACAATGCAATTTTTTGATACAGTATAGTTTTTGTAACAGTATAATTTTTTAATAGTATTTTTGATTTTATTTTTTTTAAAATATTCAATTGATAGTAATTCACTTATAACAATTTATCAGTAATAATTGCTGTTATTAATGCATGCTTGAAACAATGAAAAGTTGGTTTTTCCAAATAACAAAACAATAAAGCATAAACTTGGGACATTATTCAAATTTTACAAATCAATGCAAAATGTTTGCTTAAAAATAGCAATTAATTTCAATTAATTTCGATATGTTTGTAAAATTTCAAAAACTTTAAAAATTTAACTAATTTGTTTCGCAATATATTGTTTATACTAGAATGGAAATAATTAGGAATTATTGCATCTATTAATAGATCATTTCATTTATTCTTGTAAATCGAAAAAAAAAAAATAAATTGATTTGGAAATTTTGTTTTAAAAAAAGTTATTCAGCAAATATTTGCATACAAAAAAAAAAAAAAGTGTTTTTTTAATTTAAACTGATGCAATATCACGTCTTACATTAAAAAAAAAAAAAAAAATAGTGATATTAGGATGTGATTACGAGAAAAAACACGTTTCACAAAAAGTGTTTACATTTCTGCACGCAAAAGAATGAGAAAAGATCTGTCACCGCCCTCCGTGGGACTTGAACCCACGACCCTCAGATTAAAAGTCTGATGCTCTACCAACTGAGCTAGGAAGGCTCCGAGATTTTGCATAATATTTAAATTCCAAAAAAAAAAAATCTACCATTTTAAATTTTATTTGTATCAAAAAATATATCTTCAAATCCTTCACTTACTCAATAGCACATCATTAAACAATGGTGAGATATGGTTACAAAATGCGGACACATTTTTACAAAATGGTGACACAAGAATGACATACATGCAAAGATATACAACACACACAAACAGACACACACACACACAACACACACACACATACATACATACACACACATATATACACACAGATATACACACACATACATGTACACACATTACATACAATTTTGAACTTATGCAATATCACGTTTCTAAAAAAATTTTTTAAAAATTTTCAAAAAATGTTAAAATATAATTACAAAATACAAAACACATTTCACAAAACATGTTTGCACTTTTTTTTTCGAATAAAAGAACAATGCAATTGTCATTATCGCCCTCCGTGGGACTTGAACCCACGACCCTCAGATTAAAAGTCTGATGCTCTACCAACTGAGCTAGGAAGGCTCTAGAGATTTCGTCATACTTAAATTTCATAAAATTTTATCCATTCACATTAAATTTTAAATCTTAACTCAAACTAAATATAATACATTAACAAATAAGTAAAGTAGAAGTTAATTAATTTAAACATACATGTTTGTATGAATGTATGTATGTGTCTGTCTGTGTGCATGTGTATATATGAATGTGTGTTTGTGTCTGTCCGTGTGTATGTGTATGTGTGTGTGTATATGTATGTGTTTGTCTGTGTGTGTGTGTGTGTATGTGTGTGTGTGTGTACATGTATGTACTTATGACGAAGTTTTGTAAGCCGACAATAATTTTTTCACAATCATTTCAATCACATTAGCCAAAAGGTTATGGTTAATTGATTGGAAATGAAATTAAAAGTTTTGATTTTTAATTCGATCAAAATAGTGGAAAATTTTAAAAACAAAATTAAATTCTAATGAGAAAAGGAAGAAAAAAGGAAAAAAGGAAGAAAATTAACTTGTAAATTGAACATTTACAAATTTTAATGGAATTAATTATAAATTGATCATTTCGAAATCTTAATATAAATTAATTGCAAATAAAACGCTTAAAAATATATTTGAAATTTAAGGAAACAATTATTATCAATGGTATATTTTTTGAATTAATAATATTTAACAAGAATTAATAATATTTAACAAGAGGAAAAAAAAAAGAAAGATAAACAAATTTTAGAAATTATTACTTCATACGGTATTTGATGATAATAAAAACATTCATAAATTTCAAAATGCGTCATACTTTTGAAGGTAATTTTTTTTTCTTTGCTTTTTATTTAACACTTTTTTTTCCCGGTAATTATTTTATTACTTTCATCTGTTATTTCATTCATTTTTAATTTTAATTTGTTAATTTCATTTTTTAATAAATTAAAAACATGAAATTAAACGAATAAATTTTGGATGAATTATGATGAAAATATAAATGTAAGAAATTAAAAAAATCAAAAAAAAAAAAAAAAATTACATAAAAATATTTTCTAATACTTTCCATAAATTATTGTCTAATAGATAAATTAAAAATATTGCACATTTTTTTTTCTTCCTTTCTTTCAACTTTTTCTTACTGTTAAATGATAAATGATATTGATGGATGATACATATTTTCAAATCATCTTCTCTTCTTATCAAACAGGTATTAATGTTTCAATGAATAATGACGGACATTGATAAAAATTTTTGCGGATGAAAATGTTATTAAAGATTGCACATATATAAATATATATATCAAGGTGCAAAAAGGTTAAAGTAAGTGATAAATAGGAATTGGATGAAATATTTTCTCAAATGTTGGTAATCGAAAGAATGAATGATAATCCCTAAGGGGATAGGTTTAATCCGTGAATCCAAACTTTCACCTTCCTTCGTTTTCGTTTCTTAATTTTAACATGTAAGAAATAAAATAGGGATAATATTTGATGTCTAATTTAGGTCGACATCATCTTTCGCATACCAAATTTTTAAATCATTACCGTACAATTCATATAAATTATTCCCTGAATTATTTGATGTCTTCTTCCTTCTTCCACATTTTAACGCACAAAATTTTCTTCCTCAACCCTTCATCCCCACCTTTTAATCTCTCTTTCATCAGACAATGATACCCTCCCTCCCATACCTATATATATATATATATTAAAAGAACTGTTTCATTGTAAATTCAGGATTTAATCATATCGTCTGAGCAGTTAATACATTCTTCCTCCATTTTACATTCAAAGAAGAAAAGAACGAAGTTTTTCTTTTTTTTCTTGCTGTCATCATTTCTCATCAATCTATTAAGTGTTCATTTCATTGATCACTTATAAATTTGTTATTCGTTATATTGTATCTTTTATCACTGAAGATTAAAGATCACTAAAAAAAAAAAAGCAAAAACATGCTATACATACAAATTGGCTCATTTTTTTCCCTTATAATAATGGCAATTATTAATGCTATTCCAATTGATAATGGTGTCGAAGGTGAACCTGAAATTGAATGTGGTTCAACAGCTATTGCTGTTAATTTTAATACGCGTAATACTTTTGAAGGTAATTTTTTTTTTTTTTCTCTTATCACTATTTTTCTTATCATCTAATTAATTTTCCATCTAATTAATTTATCATTAAATTATACAATATAAACATTATGCATAATTCTAACAATTTCATAACAATTATAATGTATAATAATTGCAATTAATTTTAGTAAAATAATTTATAAAAAATTATAATTAATTTTAAAATTTTAATCAAAAAAAAAAAAGGAAAGAAAAACTAAAACAATCAATAATTTTATTTTAGGACATGTATATGCTAAAGGTATGTATAGTGAACAAGATTGTCGTAATGATGAAGGTGGACGTCAAGTAGCCGGTATAACATTATCATTTGATTCATGTAATGTTGCTCGTACACGATCATTAAATCCACGTGGAATATTTGTTACTGCTGTTGTAGTAATTACATTTCATCCACAATTTATAACAAAAGTTGATCGAATATATCGATTACAATGCTTTTATATGGAAGCTGATAAGACAGTAAGTACAAAAATTGAAGTTTCCGAAATGACAACCGCTTTTGCTACTCAATTGGTACCAATGCCAGTTTGTCGTTATGAGGTAAATTAAATTATTTTATTTTAATTTAAATACTTTTCATTATTTAGATTATTAAATTTATTAAATTATTATTTTATTTTATTATTGTTTTATTATTATATTTTATTATTATTTTACTATTTTATTATTATTTATTAGTATTTTTACTTTATCATTATTAAATTATTAAATTTTAGATTATTAAATCTTTTTCATTAAATTTGTATTTATAATCGATCAAGCCTTTTTTTCTAAAGAAATCTTCCGTTTTTTAAAAAATTACGCCTTTAATTTTTAATTACACTATTAAACTTTATCATCAAAAAAAAGAAAGGAAGAAAAGTTTACTTTTTGAAAATCTTAAATTCCCTACTTATTTAATTGAGCATTTAATTGTTGCTAATTAAAATTACAGTAACAATTTACAGTACAATTTTCTTTTTCAAAAATTATCAAATATAATTTAGATTTTGGATGGTAGTCCATCCGGACAACCAGTACAATACGGTATGATCGGACAACCGGTATATCATAAATGGACATGCGATACGGAAACTGTTGACACATTTTGTGCATTAGTTCATTCCTGTTATGTTGATGATGGTAATGGTGATAGCATTAATTTAATCAATGAAGAAGGATG